TATTACTTTTTTATAGATATTATTATTGCACTAACATCATATAAAATATATCAAATTAATTAAAGTAATGCTACATTTCATATATTCTCTTAAACTTTACATGTCTTGTATTCTATCATAGTTGTTTTCATAGATATTTAGTACAACTCTTACCACCACTTTCTTTGACATATAACCACTATATATATTTACTAGAACTCTACAATGTCATGTACCAGCAAAGAACATCATGAATAAATATAGTCATTAGTTTTAGGTAATATACAACTGTGTTTTCTTTCTCTGTACATGCCTGGCGCCCAATATCTATTTTTTTTGTTTATTGTTATTAATTAGTTTTCTTTCCAGTGAAATACCTTATCCACGACTGCTCTCCGATGAAAAGCTGCCGTTCGCAGTGGTAGTTGTTTAAAAAACCCTACAATATCTTTTAAAAAGTATTTAATAAAAACCAAAAAGAATAACTAAAAATATATTTGTTTTATATACCATTCAGGAATAATTTAATACGAAGAAATGCTCATCATACTCTAATAAATTATGATCTATAATAATTTTATATTTTTAAAGTAAAATGATAAAAATATATATGTTCTGATCTTTTTCAGTATTCTTTTTTGTAATTAAGAACAAAACGTAAACGTAAACGTAAAACGTTAAAAGGGCGCTTCTTTGGTAAAAAATGACAAAAGAAACGATATGGATACATTATTAACCTTTACAGATGGCCTGAGAATTTTTTAGGTTTACGAGCGGTCAATATTTTCAAAATCACTGAAAGTCATGCGAACTTAGAAGAACATGACAGTTTTGTTTGCAGAATATTTAGTTTCAGAAAAAAAATGTTCAGTTTCAAGAACAAAGTTCAATCTCTAGTATAAGTAAGATAACCTCATTTGTAATCAAAATGGTACAGAGTGTCCCATTTACGTGTGTTTTACAGGGTTTCTTGCTTATGAAAAGAAGAACAAAGATGCTGTTTTCACATTATTATGCTACTTTTTTATAAAACTAAAGATGCCACTAAAAAACTAATTACGCCACTGGATTCTACGTGAAAATCTCTACGAGACTCAGTTTTCATATTTTCGATAAGTTATAACCGAGACACAAAGCAATTTGAAAAGTGCAACATTTTAAAACTCGCTCTGTATTTCAGAAATTATGAAGGTTAGGACAAATCTGTGTATAGCATCTTTAGTTATATTAAAAAAGTAGCAAATAATATAAAAACAGCATCTTTGATCGGACCATCAACACAAAGATGCTGATAAACGAGAAATTCCAAAAAACACGTAAATGACACCTCGTACCTCGTACAGTATTAGCTTTTTATTTTGTTTTATTTTAAATAAATCTATTTTTATAGCTGCAATTATTTTCTCAGAATTTTGAAAAAAACAAAGAATTTTATATTGCTGTTTTTATATGCAAGTCTCACAAAAATACGAAAATTTATATGTGTAAGTAACGCTCGCATAAAACAAATCCAGTTATAAACACGCACAGTCTCGAACTGTCGTAAAGCCCAGACCCTAAAAACTTTAAACGCGCAAGAACTGGCAAAGGCATAAGTCCACCAATTTTACGACACCGAAAAAGGGTCCCTTCTTTACCGACATGTCCCTTATTCCATTATTAAAGCGTCAGAGTAAGGAATAAGGCTATATAAAGCGAATGTCAATGTACTGTCAATGGGGTTCAATTTTATACCCCGGAGAAAGCTAGGGTGGAATATCGAGAATAAGCAAATTAGTGAATAATTTAATTAAAAATGTTAAACCGAGCTGAAACCCTACGTCTGGCTTAGAATGGAAATTATTTAGGTAAAGGAATAAAGAGCCTTTAAATACGGTCCTAATTTAATAAAGTTTAGAAGACAAAATGTTGTGGGGAAGTTAATAGGCTTCATCATCCACGAGCAAAAGCAGCAAAAATTAAATTGTAAAATAAATATGCTAAAAAACTATACGGTATATTTTATTCCCGCATGAGTTTCAGTGAAAGAAATTATTTGTTCCAGTTTTCTGAAAAGCGTTAAGATTATTTATTTCTAAAAAAATATTAGAAAACTGTATTATATTACTAATAATTGTAAAATGAGTGTTATAAGTCTGACTAATTTCTGATTCTAAGTTTGTCAGTAAAATATAAATGTGTCTCATAGTTTTGTAAGTTGTGTAGAAATATATACTGTAATAATTAATATTACATAAGTTAAAATTAAGACTTACTGTGGTTGTAAATGTAAATCTTGTAGAACAGGAACTTACCTAGAACAAAAAAAAATATTAAAATTTTTATAGACTAGATAAAAATAAATAACAAAAAAAACTTTAAAAATATATCTAAAAACAAATTGAAAATATATACTTTATAACTTCTTGAAAGAAAATTTTGGCTACTAGAAGAACCATTAGCCACTAAAATGGATTTTTTGTTAACACCACTGCGTTGAATCCAAACACAAACCAGCTTGTCAGTGTCTTCAGCTTCTACTCTAAGCTCGTCAGCTCAGCTGCTGAATACTGTGCTCCGGTCTTGTTCAATAGTACATGTCCACAAAATAGACGCACAGCTCAATAACACAATGATAATGATTGCTGGTGTTATTAAATCCACACCCAATGGCTTATCAAGAAAAACCTGGTGCACGCTAAATATAATTAGAACGCAACATGGCAGATGCGCCTATACTTTACACAAAAGGGGCAAGAGTCCAAGCCCCTCCTGCGAGTGCAGCAAAAATCAAACCATCAACCATATCGTGAAGGAATGCCCTGAAACGGCTTATAACAGCAGACCAGAAGATTTCCTAGATTATACAAATTTGTTAAATGTTCCTTTGTATTCTATTTTCTTTTTGTCATATACGTTGTAGTGTAACAACCCAAGATCGTCAACAGAGTTGAAGAGGTAATATTTTGGCCAACTGTATAACAAGAAATTTAAATAAAATAAAGGAACCTACGTTGTGTTAAAAATATTTTTTATTGTGATTACCTATTTGGGAAATTTGAGGAGAATAGGTCATGTAAATGAAACGCTAAATTTTTGAATAGCCCTACTTATTTTATTAAATGAAATAAATGGAGTACCGTACTCTGCCTGGAATTCACGAGGAAAAGAGCGCGGCAGAGGAAAACCCCGATCACTATTCCAGAGAATCTAACTATGCTGTCCTGAACTTTAATAAAAGAGAAATAATAATAATATAGAAATTGTCCTCATACCTAGGTTTATAGTTCAATACATTCCATGCCACATTTATCTCGCTCAAAACTGAAGAGTTTTTGTTAGTTTAACGGGTCCCCACCCGTAGGTACGAAGGCCCTCGTTGTGGAGCTCGACGCTAAAGTTGAAGGTCTGGTGCAAATATCTTTAGATAATAAGCTATTCTATTTATTGTTTTTTGTTGCCCTTTTGCGAGCTAAGAAATTTGCCCATGCACGGTCGAAACATTTTAGTACACTCAACAAGGCCCTTATTGTCAAACTGAACCACAAACATCGACACGAAGAAACAGTAAACGATTTTATTTAGATTACTTTTAAACTGAAATTATTCACAGCATAATCGATCCATTAAATACCATTATGTTATATATTTTATACACATTTTAAATATCTTTGTTAGATCAAATAAATAAAGAAAAGCTTTAGAATAAAATCACACCAGGAAAAATGAAATATATTCTTTAGTTAACAATAGTTAAATAATGAGAAAACATTTACTTAACATTTAATAACATTCTTTGTCACAAAACTTACGAACCAAAATAACATCAATGCGTCTTGAATGGTAGTCTAAAAGATCGCGCACACTATACCTACACGGACCGGCACGGACCAGACCAGTAAAATCTACCGGTGAAGGTGACCGTGTTATTTAATAGAGTAGAGCACACTAGACCAGTACCAGCACGGACCGCCACAAGCCACGACTGTCAAAACAGGTCGTGTCGGTCAGGGACAAATATGACCGGCAATATTTATGCCTGGTCGTGCTGGTTCGACCTAATGTGCGCACCGGCGAACCAGCACACCTCCACAAACATGCAAATATTGAAGGGTTCGTCAGTATTTCGAGTAGACTAGCTGGCTCAAGTCGCATGATGTAGGTTAGATTTCGTTTATTTTTGTTCGTACCTTTAAATCGTTTTAAATATGAATGAAGAAAAGCTTATTTTACTGGTACAAAAGTATCCAGAGCTGTGCGATACGAGCCAAGCATTTTATATATAGAGACCAAGAAAGAAAAGATGCAATATGGGAGTCGATAGCAAAAAAAATAATCAAATTTGATTTATGACATTCGAAAATATTGGAAAAACTTTTCTTCGAATCTTTTTAATTCAGGAAACAAATGATGAAATTCGCCATATTGCTTTCTCTTTTGATTTATAGGGTGAACCCAAAATCTTCTTTTTTTCTTAGCTTTCTTCTCTGTCGCGTTCATAGCGCTACCGCAGCGATCACTAATTTTCTGCAGAACGCGCCGATTAGTTGTGAGCGATCATTTTTTCCATCAGATTTAAAATACGCTACGCTCCCGATGCATGATGGATTAAACGTCACATACGCCAAATGTCACAAAATGTTTTGGAAACGAAAACAAAGCATTTTGTTTATTGTTCTCTGTTGACTAATCCCCTCGATTTGTGCCAAAAATGGGTGAAAACAATTTAATATGCATTACTTATGATTTTGATCTAAAAAGCACGTTCAGAAGGACAACCAATCGATGGTACATCGCTCATGATCAACTTGTCCTGATGAACGCGACCATCCCTAGACAAGGAACTCTCTTTCCTTGTCTAAGAAGCATCATAACAAATGCATAACAACTTAACCTAACTTTATGTGTTTGTATTTTGATTCAAAAATCCAAATCTATAGATTTTATATTTTGATTTTTGCATTTGTACTTTTGTACATTAATTTGTTTTCAATTTCAACAATGAATCCTAAGCAGCAGTGCTAATTGCTCAAGAAGACACTCGTAGATGTAGGTCTAATAATAGGACGAGCGGTTGATCTTCTTCAGCCAGTAGATCAGCAAGAGGTTTGGCAAGAAAGACGTGAACGACAGCCCCGTATAAGAAACCATTTTTTTTTTTGAAAACACTGTACCAATGTACAATGATGACCTCTTTAAAGAGCATTTTAGTATGTCAAGAGCATCTTTTCAGGTATGTCCGTTGTTTCATATCTAAAAGGTAGCTGTATCAACGGTATTATCAAAGAGCTTATTTATTTTCCCTATTTCCAATTTCATTTCATTTGCAATTTTAAATTATGTAAGTATACCTATGTAATTTACTTTTTTTGCAGACCCTAGTAAACGTTTTAGGAAGAATAATTAACCATGAAAATGATAAAATTGACTTCCACAAGAAAGTCCTTTTCTCAATATGGACCATATCAAAACCTGAGAGTTTTCTGGCTATTGGAGATCGATTTAATTTTGGGAAAAGTACTGCTCATGGAGTTTTCAAACAAATTATATGTGCTTTAGCTAGCCTAATAAGAGAATATGTTAGATTTCCTCAACCAGATGAGTACTATGCTTCAACAGTTGTAAGTAGATATTGTCCTTAAACAAAAAAAAATATATTTAGGGTGGGCCAAAAAAACTTGATATAATATATTTTTTTTGCTCTTCGTAAAATATGTCTAAACAAATATGTTTCCTAGTAAAAGTGGGGCTCATAATGTTAATTCTAAGAGGTCCATCATCCAATCTAAAGTTTTACCCTTTATATAACACAGAAAAATGATTTTTTTCATCTTATTTGTTGTTGCAACCCAGGAAGATTTTTTTTCTATAAAAGCCATGGCAATACCTCTTAATGCACTAAATTTGGAAAAGAAAATCTCATGGAGACGATTGTATTTTCGTTTTTATTTTAGCCTCTTAGAATTAACAGGATATTTGTTTAGACATATTTTATGCTATTTTGAGTCGAGATCCAGCAAGAAAAAAAAAATATATATGTATATAGTTATTTTGGCAAACCCTAATTACAAATCTGATGTAAAATATGAAAATAATGTATTTCAGGTATTTAATCAACGTTCTAGAGGATTCCCTGGAGTTTTGGGTGCTATAGATGGCTGCCATATCCCTATTAAACAGACAGAAGGAAATGAACATGACTTTTATAACAGGAAGGGATTTCACTCTATAATATTACAAGGTTAGTACTGAAAAGTAAAAAAAAAATAATTACCTACCCAATTATAGGGACATGTGATCATATGGGTAAGTTCATTGACTGTTACATTGGTATGCCAGGGAGGATGCACGATGCTAGAGTTTTCAGAAACAGTTCTATATACATGCAATTGACAGGTGGGAACCTACTGTTACCACGTAATTTGCACATTATTGGTGATTCCGTATACCCATTATTAACAAATTTAACGACACCTTATAGAGATACAGGACATTTAACACCTCATGAAATAAATTATAATATTAAGTTAAGTTCAATAAGATCGATAATTGAAAGGGTTTTTGGTATTCTCAAAAATAAATTTAGAAGATTGAAATTTTTGGACATATCGGATCCTGATTTTGGAAACGAAATCATTGCTGCTGCAGTTGTATTATACAACTTTTTGATAACAATGGAGGACATTAATTTATACGAAGACATCATTGATGTAGACCTTGAAAATCCTGAAGCAGGTCATAAAGTAGGAAATTTAGTGGATAATGCAGCTGTAGAAAAAAGGAATGAAATTAGTGCTAATTTATTAAATTGAATTATTTATCATAAGGGTGTAATGAAGTCCCTATATTTTTTTTATTTAATCTGTTAAATGCTAGGCGTGAACATAAATCGAGCACGGCAGGATAGCGCGGTGCGAAAGTATTTCGCTGGTACACCGAGGAGCCAGGGTTCGAAGCTGCCTTGCGACATAAATTTTTTTATTTTTTTTTTGTTAATATTCCGATTGTAAAATATTTACATATTTGTTTTTTTGATCACCAGAACGGATAGCGTTTGTGGATTTATGAACCATACTGTATATAAGTAGAATTTGATATGTTAATTTGTTTTGAAGGATTATGGTAACAATAAATAATTCTTAGATAGGCTTAGGATGGTTTATTTCTATTTTTAGAACTGTTATGATAGTTTAAAACCGGAAAATATTTTTAATGCTAAAAATTATTTGCTGATAAAATTATTGTGTTAAATATTTCGTCGATTTGCATGGATACGTTGAAGTTTTTTTTGGTACAAACAGCAGATGTTGTTTTTGTAGAATCGACGGGTAAAAACTTTTTTTTGTACTGTAAGGAATTTTAATGGGTCGTAGAACTATGGTAGCCGAACGTGGTTCGTGGTTACCGACGGGAAAGATTATTTAAGAGACGGGAGCGCGAAAACAGGGGTCTTCCTGCTGAGACTGAGTGCCGGTGAATTTTAGTAAGTAAACCTCGTGAGTTTAAGCCGATTCTGATCCGTTTTTTTTATCAGCGATGCTGTAAAAAATTGAATTTTTGAGTTTAAATAAGTAAAAGTACCGTATCTCCGTTTTTGGTAGTGATTAAGTAGTAATCGTGGCCCTACAGATTTGATTTTAAATAAGTATATAAACCGTATTTCTGATTTTTGAGTATAAATAGTTAAAAACCGAGCGTTTAAGTTTCCTTTTTTTTAAATACCTGACCGTGAATAATTAGTGTGACCGAATTCCGGGCTGGCTGTAGGCGATTCCGCAACCAGACCGATTCGTTTTGATCCGACGCCGATTTTCTTTAGACAACCAGACCGATTCGTTTTGTTCTGACGCCAATTTTCTTCAGAAAGAATGAGGTAATCGCATTCTTTCTATTTTTTGTTTAACCGCCAGATACCCCATCAGAATTCTAGTAATCGCAAATTTTAGTTTCAGCACAGTAAAGTTTCTATTTTATTTTTATGATATAAAATTTCTTTACAGATGAGAATTTAATTAAATTTTCTATTTTATTTTACCATTATAATATTTCTTACGTATTTGAATTTAATTAAAGTTTCTATTTTATTGGATATTATAATAATTTTCTTTACATATTTGAATTTAGAGACTGTGAACTTAGTTATATTGTTATCGTAGTTAATTGATTTAATTTTTCCTTTCTGTGGTATCTGACCTATTTCTGTATGGATCGATATAATTTATTTTTGATCGATGTTGCTATATTTTCTGTTATAATATTTCTTTACAGGTTTGAATTTAGATACTGTGAACTTAATTATTTGCTATTGTAATTAACTGATTTAATTTCTTTTGGTATATAGGTATTTGACCTATAACTGCATGATCTGATTTAATTTATTTTGTTCGATTTTGCGATATTTCATGTTTTAATATTTCTTTTTATATTTGAATTTGAGTACTTTGAACTTGAAGATATTGGATTCATATTTAATTTATTTAAATAAACCTCGTTATGGAATATATTCGACTTTAACTGGCTTTTACCCTATTTCCCTGGATTCTCCACTGTAGAAAATTTTGTAGAAGTATTTTTTATTAATAAAAAATAATAAATTAGTACTTGTTTTCTCATTTTATTGCTACCCACACAGAAACTCAGTCTCATTTTTCATATTACTTTTGCCTCTTATTTCTGCTAATAAATTAATAATGATTTGCAATAAAATCCAATACGTGTTTTTGTTAATTTAAAACCTTAGGTGGACAAAATAAAACACATTTCACTTTTAACAACCTCGTGTAAGTAATTGGCAACTTGGTCATTTTAAACATGTAACAAAACAGAACAAACAAAATATTTATACCTACATATTGAAAAAACTTAAAAATGTAAAAAAAGTTTTTTACAAAAAATATAACGAAAACAACTTAAAATCTAAAAAACAAATGTTTTGCAAAATTAAATTGACAAAAACATATAAGAAAAACAACTTAATATCTAAAAAACTTTCTAGTTTAACTATCAGATTGGTTTAGTAAGAGTCGCTTCAAAATGTCATTCCTTTCCTGTTGAATCACATTATTTTGCTCTATGGCCCCTCGGAGCTTTTTTACCTCTTCTAACCTCTGATTCTCTATTTCCTGAATTTTTTTTCTATAATCATAAAGGTGCTTAACCCTGGTTGAAGAGGTTTTGCCCTTATTGATTTTCTTTTCTTCTGTCGTTTTTGGCAAAGTTGGTTTCTGATTATTTTCCGAGTTATTTTCTATATTTTTTAATATTTTGACTCCTAGGCCAACTTCCAAGTTTGAATGGACCGCATTAGGATTTTGAGCCACTTCTATTGTTGAGATGGTGGATGTAGGGTTTATTGTTTTATCATTAAAAAAAATTTCATCCATGATATCAAAATATTCCCATGTTATACATGATTCTCCTGTTTTATTTTTTTTATCCTTATTATCTTTGTAAGTTTTTTTTAAATTCCTCATTTTTCTGTCTAATATTTCTATTGTTATAGACCAATAGCCACGTTCTTGAAATTCTCTTAAAATTTCCAACCAAATATCTTTATTTTTAATTTTAGAATTTCGAAAAAGATAATTTTTTTCTTTATATAAATTTAAAAGCAGTAATGTTGTTTGTTTGGTCCATTTAAATTCATCAGTGCAAGTGGAATCTATAAAGAGATTTTATGCAACTAATTTATTCTGTATTTTAGTAAAATAAATGTAGGTGTCCAACTTTCATGTGATTTATAGCTTGCTTATAAGTAGATATTCAAAGGTGCAGTTTTCTCAGCACTGACACTGTATAAAAATAAGGTTTTACTACCGTATGATCGAAAAAAATGGCGTCCAGTTGGCGGGGAAATGACGATCGGTGACATTTCCCATCTGAATTTACATATAAAATGACAGCGATCTTCATTTCATAGGCATCGCTGACGCCGTTGTTTCTCGATCGTACGGTATTTTACCTTTGCATAATATTGACTGAATACCAGTACTTATACCAGGAGTACAGCAGCTGTCCCCGGCATGTTTTTTATTTCCTTGATCTAAAACGTGTAACAAATACATAATTTATTATTTATAAATAATGATTCTGACTTGCATTTATACCATGGTGTATGATTGCTGGCAGTAACTATCATGGAGTTAAATTTCTGATAATTTTAAGTGCTCTTACTCTTAGATTAATGGCGGCTTTATACAAAAAATAACATAAAATAAGAAATAACATATAAGAAGTTAAATGATTGCATTTACAGCTAGTAGTACATTCAACAAAAATAAAATAAGGAGAAATAAGACATAAAATAAATAAAAGTTGGTTATCTTTTAACTTTTAGGTCTTATTTCTTAAAGAAGAGATTTTGAGGTTTTAAAATTTTCTGGAAGAAGGTAAATTAAAAAGTGTAAGTAGATTTGTATTAAAAAAAGAGGAGATGTAAGTAGAAGATGGAAAATTGATATTTGTTTACATTATTTTATTTTTGCGGTATAAACCAGGAACCAAAATAAATTATTTTATCTTATTTCTTATTTTATGTTATTTATGTGTATAAATCCACCATTAGTCGTTAGGTACTGTCAGTAATAAATTTCAGGGTATAGTAGGAACTGGGAACCGGTAGGACCTTACTGACTCCTTTCTCCTTCGACCTACCTTGACATTCTTGGTCTTGGCTACTTATTTCTCTATTTCTCTCCACAACTTCTTCTTGACCCATTGATGTAGACTTTTTTGTTAACCTAGTTCACACAAAAGCTTGAATCTAAAAATATAATATATCTAATATACCAAATAATTATTCCAAATGCTGAAAAAATTACTGCAATTCAAATAAATTAACTTACCATTTTGAAGTCGATAATGGAGATTTCCATTGCCTGACACCTCATATATTTCATTATTAAAATCATAAGTAATGCTTATTAAATTTTCACCCATTTTTAACCGAGAATATGACCGAGAACAATAATTGACAATAATAAACAAAATGGTTTTTTTCGTTTTCCAAAACATTTTGTGACATTTGGCGTATGTGACGTTTAATCCATCATGCATTGGTAGCGTAGCGTATTTTAAATCTGATGGAAAAAATGGCGACTGATCCCAGAGCGCTCACAACTAATCGGCGCGTTCAGCAGAAAATTAGTGATCGCTGCGGTAGCGCTACGTCCTGATGAACGCGACCTTTTTAAATTAGGTTTTCGATCTTTTTAAACGGTTTTTATATATGATCGAAAAATGTATTAATAATTTTCCGAAGATATTATGTTCGTATAGGGATTATTATAATTTTATTATGATGTAATAAAATGTTTCACTCAATCCGTATGCATTAAATAAAATTTTATGTCTAATTTTATTTTGGGTTTGGTTTTTGGTTTGGTTTGTTTTACTGGTTGCCTGTGTTAAATTTTATGTTTCGTGTTTCTGACTTGGAATCGAGCATGTTCTGAAACTCGTCCTTCTACTTCGAACCGCCGTGGTAAACGCAGCATTTCTGATCCTGACTGACTGATAAAAACTCCATTGAAGTTTTTGGCCTGGCCTTGTCGTTCCGAATTGGGATTGTTTCTTTGGAGTTGTCTGGAATTCTATTGTGGGTCGAGAAGACTGGTTGTGCAGTTTTGGCACTAGTTGTGGGCGATTTTGGCCTGTGTGTGGTTCAGAATTCCAGAGAAGCCTTGTAGAGGGATATATTCGTCAGTTGGTAAGAGACATGTACAGCTGTGTAATGTTCTTTTGTACAACTATTTATTTTAGGGGACAGGATTTTACAAGACGGACTGTGTGTGATGGTCGTACGAGATGAGTACGAGGACTTTTAAAGAACCCTTTTTCATGGAGTAACGTGTGGCGACGCCATTTTGTTTTGGAACGTCCACATGGTGGAAAGGTATTTTATTATGTCCAAATCAGAACATGTCAGTAAAATAGATCATATTTTAGGGTTCTTCTTCGTCTTTCTTCTTTCTTGTTCCTTGGCTATTACTCCTTAGTGATGATTACGGTTTAGTTTAAGATTTTTATCAATTTTTTTTGTACTGGATATGGTACTGCAACTAATGCCATTGTGACGTGAATGCCACTGTGACGAGGAATGCCACTGGGATACTGAAGACCAAACACCTGGATTTTCTCATTGACTGACTGGAACGACCACTGGATGACAGATAAGACTTTAATCATCTCTTATTTTATTGCGTTTATGATTGATTAAAATTTATTACATTAAATATACGATCGTATGTGAACTTGGTATACCAGGGGATTTTTACATTTAAATTTCATTTTATTCTTTATAGATTTAATCATAATCACAAATACGCATCAGGGTTGTTCACAGTTTAGTCACAACAATATTTGGTGATACTATTCATGATTTAATTTATTTTACAGATAGTTCATTTTTACTAGTATATATATATATTTCATTATTTCGTATTTAAATATTTGCAACATTTTATGATAGATCTTATATATAGATAATTTGTTTTAATTTTAAATTTAATATTTATTAAACGAATCCAGTACATTTTAGACTTTTCAATCAGTACACTTTTTCCATACACCTCCCTTTTGATATCTCTTGTTCTGTGCATATATATTTTACTTAATTATTTACTGAGCTAGCTGGAACCTATTTGTAATGGAACCTGGTGAATCTGAGTTCCCATTATAAACTTGTTCACCCAAGGTTTCACCCAATCGTTATACCTTGTTTATATGCTATTGAAGATAAAAACTATAAAAATAGGCATGCTAGAAACGCATCTTTGGTAACAATGAAATCTAGCCTGCACGAGAACTGTCTAGATGTTTCAGAAGCTGAAATAAAAATTAAATTTAACAATTTGCGACCCAATTTTTCATGCCAGTACAGGAAATATGAGTCTTATTTCCATAGTTGCATGATTAGTGAACCACATTCTTTTTGAACTTTTAAACACATATTCTTTTCTAGATATTTAAGCCAAATTTGTTTTATTTCGACGAAATTACATTTTTGGTGGATCACTCATATCCTAGAAAATCTGTTGACAGTATCTTAGATCAAGTGGAAAGTACAAATTCTGATGAAACTTCCACCAGAGTTCTTAGATGTGAACAACGATGTTGAGCTAGTAAATGTACTGACTATTATAAAGACTTGATTTGAAAGATTTAATTGTTTAATAGATTTATGGTACTAAATTTTTATTAATGAGCTACTTTTTTACAGATTTTTGAAGAAAGTGAAAATGATCCAAATTTTTCGTACAGTAATTTACAACTAACAATTGAAAGTAGTAATGATGAAACCAGAGCTGAAACTGATATACTCGTACAGGCCAAAGATAACACAGGTAAACACTGCAAAAAAAAGAAAAAAATAGAGGATCCATTATTGGAAAACGCAAGTAATGCTCTAATAAATTTAACCAATAGCTTACAAACCAGTAAGGAAAATCCTGCAAAGAAAAGTCAGAGTGCAATATTTTGCGATTACTTATGCAGTCAACTTGAAACTATAGAAAAATGTCCTATCGTGTTTTTAGAAACTCAAAAAAATACAATTTCTATTAAATACAAAAAAGATCTATTATCAAAACAAGTGCAAAAAGATGATTTAATAAAAAAACGTCAAATAAAATTTTCAATTTATTTTGTAACCTCTAATAAAAAAGATAGAGATAAAGTTGGATAGAGATAAAGAGATATGTGGATACATCTGAAAAAAGTGTTATTCTATTTTTTTTCTGGCAAATAAAATGAGTTATAAAAGATTTAGCAAGTTAGCAAGATTTCCTAAATTGAAATAACAGTTTTTGTAGTTCGAGAGGAATTATAGGTATTATTATTAGTAGTATGCTATACATGGTCGAGTAAACACGTGTTTCTTGTCGCTCTTCAATTAAACGCTATTTTATAGAATAAAAGTATAGAATAAACTTTAAAAAAATAGTTGAATTAGTCCATGGGAACAGTGTTTGAGAATTTATAAAAATGCCTTTCACAAGAGAACAAGTTAGTGATATTAAAGTTATTATAAAAGAAACAATAATGGAGCTATTTAATGATGAACATTTTATCTTGGCAATAACAAACAAGGTAAAGCAAAAACTTAATTTCACTGAAATCGAGCAAAAAATATGCCCAAGCAAATTCCAATATAGCCGCGTTGGAGGAACAAAATAAACAACTACGAGGGGCGGTCGAAAAGATGCAGCAACACAATAAGAGAACATCTCTGCGAATATTTGGATTGAGGGAAGACAGACAGGAGGACGTTAGACAAAAGGTGACAACTCTGTTCGAGGACAAGCTAGGTGTCAAAATGGAAAGGAATGAATTGGAAAACTGCTTTAGAATAGGAAACAGACAACAATCGAAGAGACCAATATTGGCTACACTGGCGAACTATACTATAAAGCAAGAAATAGTAAATAAACGGAAACATTTAAAGGGTTCTGCAGTGTCTATAATGGAGGATATGACACCAAGCAAATACGCATTGTACAAGGCTGCAAAGAACAAACTGGGAAATGATCGTTTGTGGTTTTATGGTGGTGACGTTAGAATGAAAACTGGTATGTCTAAAAATATTATAGAAAACACTGAGGAACTGAAGAGATTACATTGATTTTTTTTATTTTACTTATATCACGTTTATTCTCTGCTGTTTTTCACTATTTTTGATTGTTTTCGACATAAAACGGTATAAAAAAAAAGACACTTTACTGCTTACCCACTAATAATCTAATATCTCATTTTTTTATTGTTTTTTTTATTGTCTTTTTTTTTCTGTCTCTCTCTCTCTATAGGTGCTTGGATTTGCACTCTTTTTAATGCCTGTGTACAGATTAGGAATTGTTGTATTGTATTCTCTAATTTCTTTATTTCAGATTTTCTTTAAACTTATAAACGACTTGAAATATGATAGAAAACCTTAAACTTAATTTACTCTTATACATACTATATCGTCTTTTTTTATTTCTTACCTTTTTTTGAAATCTTACTACCAAACAGACAAGTTTAATTTTAGTTTTTAACTTTCCTTCATTATTTTTTTTTATTTTTTATTTTCTTGTATTATTTTTAAGTAACATAAATTCATAACCAACGTGGAGGAAGCATATCGAATTTTGAATAATTTTAATAACATAGAAAATATCTCCTGCTATAACTTTGACGATGTCGACAAGCAATTCGCTTTTGAACACCAAAATTTTACAATATTACATTACAATATCAGAAGCTTGCGAGCACATTTTGATAAGCTTTGTGTAGTTATTGACAGACTGAATAAAAACAATAATATTTCAATTATTGTTTTAACCGAAACTTGGGCTATTAATGATCCAGCTTCGCTTAATATAAAGGGTTTTAGTTTATTTTATAACGGGGGATCTTATAATAAATGTGATGGAGTGGTGATGTATGTGAATGAAAAGTATGTGGCTGATGCGAGGGTGGTAGTTCTTGGTGATATAAAAATACTTGAATGTAGGGTTGACCTGCCACTTTTTACATTGGGCGTAGTAGGAATATATAGACCGAATTCTACAGATAAAATGAACTTCATAGAAAATTTGATGACTATCTTGGTAACTATATTAAAGATCACATAACTATTCTTGTGGGAGATTTTAATATTGACATAAACCCAAACAATGTACTTAATCTAAACTCAATAAGATATACTAGCATGTTAAACAAAAATGGATTCACTCTCCAAGTGAACCTACCGACAAGAGTTGAATCTGATTCCGCAACGACCATAGACCATATCTCTGTTTATAATAATTTGAAGCACAATAAAAACAATGTATATTTTAAAACTATTATATTTGAAAACAATTTAACTGATCATTACCCTTTAATTTATAGTATTCAGTATAACGGAATTAAAAATTCAAGCCAGGCTACAGAACCAAAAACAATAAATAAAATAAATTATGAAGTTTTAAATGAAATGCTGTTGAGTCAGGAATGGGACGATGTTTTTTCTTGTACAGATACACAGATGGCTACTAATAAATTTTATGAGAAGGTACAAAACGCGATTAAAATTTCTACAACAAAAATTAATCTTAAAAATTCTAAGCACAAAATAAAACCTTGGATGACAAAAGCTATACAAACTGAACTCTACAGGTAACAACTACAAGAAAAAATGGGAAATAATCAACGAGGTATCCA